TGAACTATTCAACAATGGGTTTTTTTGGCACAAAATAGCTTGGTGCTGAGTTTTCTAAAACAGCATATTGTTGGAGCTAGATGCTTTTCCCAAGAGAGTTGCTGAGGGGTCAACCTATTCTCCAAAGCACCTGAAGGCATGACAAGAAATAACGGATGGAAGCTGATCAAGGAGAGAAACAACCTAGAACTAAGGAGAAATTTTCCTAACTGTGAGAACAATTAATCAGTGGAATGGTTTGCCTCCAGAAGCTGTGTGTGCTCAATCACAGGAGGATTTTAAGCAGAGACTGGACAGCCAAGTATAGGATTTCCTGCTCGAGCAGGGGATTGGACTAGAAGACCTCCAAGGTCACTTCCAACTGTTATTCAGAGGCTTAACTGTTCTGAAGAAAAATTAGAAGTGAGAAACAAAACAATGAAAATACTTTTTTGATTACTTACATAGGTTGTTTTCCTCTGATTCACCAACGGCAAACTGACACCATAGTTCTGATTTACAATGCTTCGGTGGTATATATGTTTTGGGTCACACAGAATCCTCATCATCATTGAAAGCTTGTGCTGCAAAGAAACACAATGCAGCCTGTCTACAACAATAATGCTGGAAGTTTTGTCTAGTACTAAATTTACAGTGGCACCTTGGTATTCAACTGCTTTGTTGATACTGGTATTCAACTCATCAACCTTGGTATGCAAAGAATTTCGATATGAAAATTTTGTCCTGGTAGTCATTGTTTGTTTGGTACTCAACGCCCAAGCTAGAACTTGTCGTTTTCGGCTGCCTTGTGACTCACTACATTATTCCTTTTGGGGAAAAGTTGGTACTCATCACTTTTGATACTCATTGCATCTCCCGGAGCCAATTAATGGTGAGTACTTAGGTACCACTATATTAATTAAATTTATATGCTGTCCATCTCGCTATCCACCCTATCCATACAAACCTTGGGCCAGACCTGCCTCAGCTTGGACTCCTAAGCAGAAACAACCCTAGGCTCCCTTTTGTTGCAAGAGGACCAGTTTTATTAGAAGTCAAATGAACTGCAGTAAAGCAAAGCCAGAACTGAAGTTCGTCCCATACATTTCCCGGTTAACTTTCCCCATCCGGTTCCTCTGCTCCCTTGGCCTTTCTTGTCCAACTATACTTGAGTAGCTTGTTTTTGTAACGGTCTTGCCTTCTTCTGCCAGGGCAACAACCTTGAGTGTCTCTGAGAGGCACACTTCTTCCCACCAACTTCCATCAGTTTCACTTCACACCACCTGTCCGGCTCCTTCCCCCTATTGTTCATGGCAGGTTGGCAGCTCTGACACCTTGTTAGCATCCCTACGTGATGCCTTCCTGCATCAGCTGGAGAAGCACAGTGTGTACGGGCAGCAACGCAAGTGGCAAACCATTTCAGAATGGAGAAAAAGCAAACTCTTTTCTGTCTACTAGGAAAAGCCCACTTCCATATAAATGGGAGGGGGCAGCTTGCCTCTCTGCCCCAGATCTATCATGCACCACTATCCTCCTCATTTCCCAAAGGACGAACCCAACGGTTCTCCTCAGATGTCTCTGGATGGCTGGGTTGGATGCTTGAAGTCCTTCATGCTCTCCATGTGGGCAGAAGAGAAGCCCTCTTCTTCCACTGAGAGGCCAAGGAGCTTTGCAGTGCTGCATCTCTGTCTGAAGGAGACACTGTGGACTGCAGGCCTGGCCTGGGCACCCTTGTTCAAGGACCCAGAGAAGCCTGAGGTTACTGATCTCAGCTGAAGATACTCCAGAGTGGATCCCCAAGGCGATGACAGGTAGTCCTTAGTGACCATTCA